TTCGTGTTTTGCTGTTTGTGGCTCCCTCTCCTGGGTTTGGATGCACCAGGGAGGACCCACTTTAATCCCGCCAAGTCCCCTGTTCTCCGGGAGTCTGTGTGGCTCCAGCGGAGAGTTTAGCAGGCTATAGCGTTAGGAGGGCCCATGCAGGGTGGCAAGGGAGGTGGTGGGAATAATTTCCAGCCAAGTTCCCTGGTCCCGCCCAGTTCCCTGGGGGCCGTGAGTCCGTGGGCTTCAGCGGCTGCAGAGTTTCCAGGGCCGTGCACGGCGGGAAGGGAGGCGGTAGAATTAATTTTCCGCCACGTTCGCAGGTCCCACCGAGTTGCCTGGGGGCCAGGAGTCTGTGTGGCTTCAGCGGAGAGCCTAGCCTAGCCGGCTACAGGGTTTCCAGGCCGTGCGCGGCGGGGAGGGAGGCGGTAGACTTAATTTTCCGCTGCGTTCCCCGGTCCCACCGAGTTGCCTGGGGGCCAGGAGTCTGTGCGGCTTCAGCGGCTACAGGGCCTTGCACGGCAGGAGGGGAGGCAGTAGAATTAATTTTCCGTCTAGTTCCCCGGTCCCTCCGAGTTCCCTGGTCCCGCCCAGTTCCTTGGGGGCCAGGAGTCTGTGCGGCTCCAGCGGAGAGCCTAGCCTAGCCGGCTGCAGAGTTTCTAAGGCCGTGCACGGCAGGGGGGGAGGCGGTAGCGTTAACTCTCCACCGCGTTCCCCGGTCCCACCGAGTTGCCTGGGGTCTGCGAGTCTGTGCGGCTTCAGCAGAGAGCCTAGCCTAGCCGGCTGCGAGTCAGTGCGGCTTCAGCAGAGAGCCTAGCCTAGCCGCTACAGGGTTTCCAGGCCGGGCACAGTGGGAAGAAAGACGGTAGAGTTAACTTCCCCTCTAGTTCCCTGGCCCCTGCCCAGGCCGCTGCGGACCCTGGGCTCCTGGTCCCCACTCCCGTCCTCGCAAGCCTACCAGGACTGAGTGGGTGTTTCTGGTTAAGTGGTCCTCCAAGGTGTCCTTCAGCTGCCCTTTCCTGACGGTTTGCCTTTGTTTTCGTTGTAAATCCAGTTTGGTCTTGGGAGACGGTCTGGGTCCCTCCATTCACTTCGCCGCCATTTTCTCTCTGGACTCTATTTTTTACTTTTTGTTATCATTATTATTTTTAATCCTCACCTGAGGATATTCTTCCATTGATTTTCAGATAGCGTGGGAGGGAAGGAGGGTGAGAGAGAGAGACATCAATTGGTTGCCTCCTGCACAACCCTGACCAGGGCCATGGATCGAACCTGCAACCGAGGTACATGCCCTTGACTGGGAATCAAACTCATGACTCTTTGGTCCACAGGCTGATGCTCTAACCGCTGAGCCAAACCAGCAAGAGCATCCACTGACTTTTAGATAGAGTGGAAGGGAGGGAGGGAGAGAAGAAACATCAGTGTGAGAGAAAAACATCAATTGTTTGCCTCCTGCATGACCCTAACTGGGTCTGGGAATCGAGCCTGCAACCCAGGTACGTGCCCATAACCTGGAATCAAACTTATGACCCTTTGGTCTGTGAGCCAAACTGGCCAGGGCTAAAGCTAGTAGTTTTTTGCATGAGTCTTTACGGTTTTCTATGTACAGTATTATGTCATCTGTGAATAATGACAGTTTTTCCTATTCCTTTCTCACTTGGATGCCTTTTATTTTTTTCTTGTCTGGTTGCTGTAGCTGAGCCTTCTAGCGCTGTGATGTATAAGGGTGGTAAAAGTGGATATACCTGTCTTGTTCCTGTTCTTAAAGGAAACACTTTTAGTTTTTGCCCATTGAGTATTGTGTTGGCTGTAGATTTGTCGTATGTGGCCTTTATTATGTTGAGGTATGATCCTTCTATTTTCAGTTTCTTGAAAGTTTTTATCAAAAATGGGTGCTGGATGCCCTGGCCAGTTTGGCTCGGCAGTTAAGAGCATTAGCCCATGAACTGAAGGGTCAAGAGTTCAATTCCTGGTCAAGGGCACATACCTGGGTTGCAGGTTTTATCCTTGGCCCTGGTTGGGGTTGTGCGAGAGGTAGCCAGTCGATGCGTCTCTCTCACACTGATGTTTCTCTCTCTCTCTTTCCTCCTCCCTCCCTTCCAACACTATAAAAAAAAAACAATCAATGTAAAAGTATCTTTGGGTGAGGATTAACAACAACAACAACAACAACAAATAGTTGCTGGATTTTGTCGAATGCTTTTTCTGTATCTATTGATAATGGTCATATTATTTTATCTTTCATTTTGTTTGTGTGGTGTATCACATTTATTGATTTGTGAATATTGTACCAGCCTTGAATCTCTGGGGTAAATCCCACTTGGTCATGGTGAATAATCTTTTTAATATATTGCTGAATCCATTTTGCTAATATTTTGTTGAGGATTTTGGTATATATGTTCATCAAGGATATTGGCCTGTAATTTTCTTTTCTTTGTAGTATCTTTATTTGGTTTTGGAATTAGGATAATGCTGACCTTGTAAGAAGAGCTTGGACATCTTCCTTCCTCTTTAATTTTTTGGAGTAGTTTGAGAATATGTGTTAGTTCTTCTTTGAATGTTTGGTAAAACTCCCCTGTGAAGCTGTCTGGTCTAGGTCTTTTGTTTGCTGAGAGTTTTTAAATTACTACTTTAATTTCATTAGTTGTTATTGTTGTATTCAGGTTTTCTGATTCTTCCTGATTCAGTTTTGGAAGATTGTATGTTTCTAGGAATTTGTTCATTTTGCCTAGGTTATCCCATTTGTTGGCATAGAGTTGTTTATTTATTTGGGTCCTCTCTCTTTTTTTGATGAGTCTGGCTAGAGGTTCATCGATCTTGTTTATCTTTTCAAAGAATCAGTTCTTGGTTTCATTGATATTTTGTATTGTTTTTAGTCTATGTCATTTATTTCTGCTCTGATCTTTTGATTGGAGAATTTATCCATTTACATATAAGGTTATTAATTGGTACTTACTGCCATTTTTATTCTTTATGCCTATGTTTCTCTCTCTCTCTATATATATATATTTTTAATTGTTTTTATTTTTATTTTTTATCCTCACCCGAGGACAATTTTGCATTTATCTTCAGATAGAGTGGGAGGGAGAGAGGAGGGAGGAGAGAGAAAAACATCGATGTGAGAGAGACACATCAATGTGAGAGAGACACATCGACTGGTTGCCACCCACACAAACCCAACCGGGGCTGAGGACAAACCGCAACCAAGGTATGTGCCCTTAGCGGGGACTGAACCTGGAACTCTCTGGTTCGCAGGCCAACGCTCTAACCTCTGAGCCAAACCGGCCCAGGCTCTCTGTATATTTCTTTATTACAAAGACCCTTTGCAATGGTGGTTTGATGGTAAACTCCTTTAGCGTTTTTTTATTTTTAATGATAGCATTGCTGGATAGAGTACTATTGTTTTCAGATCCTGCTTTTCATTACCTTGAATAATTCATGCCATTCCCTTCTGGCCTGTAGTGTTTCAGTTGAGAAATCAGACAGAATCCTTATGGTAGCTCCTTTGTGGGTAACTAATTGCTTTTCTCTTGCTGCTTTTAAGATTCTCTCTTTGGCCTGGCTAGTGTGGCTCAGTGGATTGAGCGTCATCCCATGGACTGAGAGTTCCCTGTTCAGTTCCTAGTCAGGGCATATGCCCAAGTTGCAGGCTCTATCCCCAGTAGGGGGCATGCAGGAGGCAGCTGACTGATGTATCTCTCTCACATTGATGTTTCTATCTCTCCCTTTCTCTCTCTAAAAAAATCAATTAAAACATTTTTAAAAAAGATTCTCTCGCCCTGGCCGGTTTGGCTCAGCGGTTAGAGCATCGGCCTGTGGTCCAGAGAGACCAGGGTTCAGTTCCCGCTAAGGGCACGTACCTCGGTTGCAGTTTGTCCCCGGCCCTGGTTGGGTCGTGCTGGTGGCAACCACTCGACGTGTTCCTTTCACGTCGATGTTTCTTCTCTCTCTCTCTTCCTCTCTCTCCTTCCCACTCTATCTGAACAAAAAACGAAAAAAATGTCCTCAGGTGAGGATAAAAAAAAAAAGATTCTTTGTTTTTAGTCTTTAGCATTTTAATTATGATGTGTGTTGGCATGGGCCCCTTTGGGTTTTTCTTGCTTAGGACTCTCTGTCCTTCCTGAACCTGTATGACTTTTTCCATCACCAGGTTAGGGAAGTTTTTTGCCATTATTTCTTCAAAAGGTTTTCTATCCCTTGCTCATTTAGCTCTTCTTCTGATGAATTCTCTTGTTCTTTCATTTGAGGCTTGTTTCTTTGTTTCCCCATTTTTGCTGCCTGTTTGGGTGTGTGTCTATGTATTAGGTAGATCTGCTATGACTTCTGGTCTTGGTTGGGTGTCTTTATGTAGCAAGTGACCTGTGGGACTTAGTAGCATAGTCTCCCTCATCACCAGACCTGGGTGCTCTAATAATATCCTTTGTGTACATTGTGTGAGTCCTCCTGTTGTAATGGAGTCTTATTATTGGCCCATTCATGCCTGGGCTCGACCCTCAAGCTAGCTGTCTGTGAGGCTCAATCTCTAACACAGCCTGCAGGCTGCTGTGCTGGTGCTCACACAAAGCGGAATTTGTCTTGCCTCCGCTACCAATATCTATGTGGATATACTGCTTGTGAAGCTTATTGGATCCTGCTCTCTTGTTTTCTGAAGATGGCCACTGGGTTTATTGGTTTGGGGCTTCCTCAGAGTGTCTCCAATGTCTGACGCTGTCCATGACTGGCTCGAGTATCCTGTTTGGAATCAGTGATCCACAGCTTGTGGTTCCCTCTGCTGGGGCTGGGTGTGTGGAAAGGACCAAGTTGCACACCAAGTTTTACCCTTATTAGCTCTGGTCCCAGGAGCAGGTGAGGCAACAACTCAAAGCACCCAGAGAGCTACCTTTGCCTACAGGCTGATTGTAAATCTCAGTCACTAAATGAGCCTCAGGCTGTAGACTTCAGCCAGGGTTAAACTCACAGGGTGGGGTGAGAGGGTTTCTAATGGGTGGGGCTATTGCTTTTCCCCTAGGCTAAAGCTGCCAGGATGTAAAGGTCTGCCTGAGAAAGATGGCTTCTGCTGCTTGGGGGAATGACCCAGCTCAGGGATCCTGGTGGGTGTCTTCTCAGCTCTCTCCCCAGAGCCACCAACTCCAGACTCTCCTCACGCAGTTCTAGTTAACTCTGCCCTCCCTCTGCTGGGCCCAAGGTGAGTGGCTGCAAACGAAATTTAGAGCATTAGCCCTTTATGAGGGTGCCTGTGTTTCTAGCCAACTTTCCCTGATGAACAAAACCTCCAGTACTTTTCACTGCCAGATGTTATGTGGACATTTTTCCTAGTTCTGTTACTCTCGGCTGGGGAGCCGAGCTTGGAGTTTAGACTCCAGACTTCTAAGGGGGAACCCTCCTCAGCTGAGATATCCCTCCAGCACTTCAGCTGCTGCCTGTGGGAGCCCAGCCAACCCTCTCATGCCTCTGTACTTCCTACCAGTCTTGATGTGGGCTTCTCTTTATGTCCTTGGTTACAAGGGTTCTCTCCAACTAGTCTTCAGTTAGTTATTCAGGATGCTTTTTCTATATTTTAGTTGTAATTCCAGTTTGGTCCTGGGAGAAAGTCAATGTACAGTCGTCCCTCGCCACTTTGCGCTTCGACATTCGTGGCTACATGCTATAGCAGTTTTTTCAAATATAGTAGTTTTTTCAAATATAGTGTAGTTTTTTCAAATATAGTATAGTATAGTATTTGAAAAAACTGCGATACAGCGAAGCCGGGAAAGTTGGAGCCAAAGTGGCAAGGGATGACTGTATAAATAAAGAATCCTACTTCACGGAAATTCATTTATTGCGATGGAGTCTGGAACTGATTAACCGCGATAAACGAGGGCTGAGTGTAGCTTCCACTTAATCCACCACCATCTTGGGATGCCCCCAATAAGTAACGTTTATTAAGCTCTTACTCAATGCTAGATCCTGTTCTAAGTGCTTTTTAAGAATTAACTGGTTGAGTTTTCACTGTAGCCCCATGAGGTAGATTCTGTGTTTTCCCCTGTATCACCCATGAGGGAATTGAAGAACAAGATTAAGTGGAGGACTTGGGATTTAACTGCTCCTCTGTGTTGGCCCCATAATTTGTCCTCCTCCCCTCTGGAGTGTCTGCACAAATATAGAATATTCACATCCTGTGCCATCTCTGCAAAGAGGAGCATGGGCTACATTGGTCTGTTTCCCACAGAGCCCAAATTTGCACTTGGGTTTTTGCCACAATTCAGTACCATTGTCCTAGTATCCCTGTACCTTTGTCCTCCTAACACACTTTCTGTGTTGTGTGATTCTAGATTGGACCTGGGATCAAAAACAAGCACATTGTTTTAAAAGACCATATTAAGACAATTGAGCAATTTGATCAGGGACTGTTAGCTCTAGAGCTGTGCTCTTTAATATAGTAAACATTAGCGGTGGCTATTTACATTAAAATGAATTATAATTAAGTAAAACTACATGTTCAGTTCCTCATTTGCACTAGCTACATTTCAACTGTTTAATCCCTTGTGGACTGCACAGATACGTAACATTCTGTCATTGCACAAAGTTCCACTGGATGCATGGTCAGGTTCAGGTGTGAGGTTTTGGTAGGATGACTTCACAGGTGCATATCATTCTGGGCAGGAGACAGGTGGTGTTGGATTTTTCTTTTCTTTTTTTCTTTAATCCTCACCCAAGGATATTTTTTCATTTATCTTCAGATAGAGTTGGGGGGAGAGAAAGGGAGAGAGAAAGAAACATCGATGTGAGAGGGACACATCAACTGATTACCTCCTGCATGACCCCAACCAGGGCCTGGGACGACCTGCAACCGAGGTATATGCCCTTGGCCAGAATCGAACCCAGGACTCACTGGTCCAAGGGCCAATGCTCTACTGCTGAGTCAAACTGGACAGGCTGGATTTTTTTTAATGCTCACTTGTCTCATCTTTAGCTAGTGGGCGCCCCTTAGGGTTTGTTCCCAAGTTGTTTGATATAACTTCAATAGCTTTAGAAGCTTCATTGCATTCTGCTCTCACAAGATGCTCCCAGTTGCTCTGGCCTATTTCCTGCCCAGACCTGGAATCGGCCATTTCTCCAGGAGCCCTAGTTATGGTAGTTAGAGACCGCAGTTAGTGTTTGGAGTGCTTATTACTTCTGTGTTGTCATTTCCTCTAGGCATTTTCAGTTGGTGTAACTATAAAAGTGTATGGGGGTGTTTGTTTAAGGGAATATATATTATAAATTTGTATTGATATTTCAAGTTCAAATTTGGGAATTCTGAGTTTTTACTTCATTTTCTTAAGTTAGAATCTCTTTTCTTTTATGCTGCTACGTAATGACATAAACCTTACTACTTATTTGCTACATCTATAATAGTTTCAGAATAACATTAATAATATTTCTAACAACATGATTACTGAAAACTGTTGAAGTTTTTTTTTTGTATTTTATACTATCCTTAGTATATATCTCAATAAGAATGTATGGTCATATTACTGTGTTTTAAAATCACATGAAGTGGTCTGATCACTGCAGAAACACTCTTAGATTTGTGGGCTTCATTTTGTTCTTGCTTTTTAAGGGTTGCTTTTATTTTTATTTTGGTTTATATTGATTTATTAGTTTTTTTAATTTAGGCTTTCTTTTTGCTTATTTACGCTATTAGTTTTATTTTAAATTTTTATTAATATAACACTATATTACTATAACATAACATTGCCTAATTATATGATTACATGCAAGCATAAGGATATAATAAAATAACATGTATAGTTATAACAGTATATTTTATAATATACATTATAATCATATTACATATGGTTATATTAATATATAACTGTGTTATAATACTATTTTACTATTTTATATAATATGGCAGTCCTTTAACATAATATTAAGCTATTATTTTACCCTTATTGTTATTACATTTTATTATAAGGACATACATATGTTAACATTCCCCCTTTTTAAAAAAAATTCTTTTTTTCTTTATTGATTTTAGAGAGGAAGGGAGAGGGAGAGAGAGATAGAAACATCAATGAGAGAGAACATCAATTGGCCGCTTCCTGCATACCCTCCCACTGGGGATCAGGCCCACAACCTGGGCATGTGCCCTGACTGGGAATTGAACCGATGACCTCTTGGTACACGGATCCACTCTCAACCACTGAGCCACACCAGCTGGGCCATTCCCTCTTTCTTTAAAAACGTTTTTTAAAAATCCTCACCCAAGAATATTTTTCTATTTATCTTCAGATAGAGTGGAAGGGAGAAAGAGAGAGAGACAGAAAAATATCTGTGTGAGAGAGAAACATCGATTGGTTGCCTCTCACATGACCTCGACTAGGGCCGGGGACCGAACCACAACCAAGGTATGTGCCCTTGACCAGGATTGAACCCATGAGTCTTTGGTCCATGGGCCAACTCTTTTTTTTTTTTTTTTTTTATCCTCACCCGAGGACATTTTTCCATTTTTTGTACAGATAGAGTGGGAGGGAGAGAGAGGAAGGGAGAGAGAGAGAGAAACATCGACGTGAAGGGACACATCGAATGGCTGCCACCCGCACGACCAACCAGGGCCGGGGACAAACTGCAACCGAAGTACGTGCCCTTAGCGGGAACCGAACCCGGGTCTCTCCGGACCACAGGCCGACGCTCTAACCGCTGAGTCAAACCGGCCAGGGCATGGGCCAACTCTCTAACTGCTGAGCCAAACTATCCAGGGCTAAAATTTTTTTTTTTGTTAATCCTCATCTGAGGATATTTTTCCATTTTTATTTTCAGACAGAGTAGGGGGTGGGGAGAAACATTGATGTGAGAAAGACACATTGACTGGTTGCCTCCCACGTGACCCCTACCAGGGCCAGGGACTGAAACGCAACCAAGGTACGTGCCCTTGACTGGAACTGAACCCATGACCCTTTGGTCCATGGGCTGGCGCTCTAACTGCTGAGCCAAACCATTCAGGGCTAAAATAAATATATTTTATATATATATATATTTATTTATTTATTTATTTATTTATTTATTTATTTAATCCTCCCCTGAGGACATTTATTCGTTCTTTGTTAGAGTGGGAGGGAGAGAGAGGAAGAGAGAGAGAGAGAAACATCAACATGAAAGGGACACATCGAGTGGCTGCCACCCGCACGAGCCAACCAAGGGCGGAGGACAAACTGCAGCAGAGGTGCATGCCTTTAGTGGGAACTGAACCCAGGTCTCTAAGGGTTCAGTTCCAAACCGGCCAGGGCTAAAATATATATTTTTTAATCCTCACCCAAGGACATGTTTCTTATTGATTTTAGAGAGAGAGGAAGGGAAAGGGAGAGAGAGAAAGAGGGAAACTTTGATGTGTGAGAGAACCATTGATTGGTTGCCTTCCATTCACTTCCCAGCCTGAAGATGCTAACCAAGATTGAACCCACAGCCTGGGTATGTGCCCTGACTGGGAATTTAATCCGAGACCCTCCAGTGCGTGGGATGACACACCAACTAACTGAGCCACATCAGCATGGGCAACGTTTCCTCTTTCTTGTAAAGTATAGTAAGCTACCTGCCCTCTTCTGCAATTTTAGATGCTCTAGGGATGTTGGGATATCACCCTATCCTGCGATCCACATTGTAAAAATTTTTCCAGGGTGTTCAAACGGCTCCAGCTCCGGTATGTGCTCCTTAAATGGTGGCCAGGCTCCCAAATGCCCTCTTGCCCTCAACAAAGCTTTCTTCTCACCTTAACTTCTCAGCTCAGGAGCATCTGTTGGCTGCCTGCAGCCCATGAGGAAAGGATTAAGATGGCCTCCAAGCGCATCACCCAGGAGACCTTTGATGCAGCTGTTCATGAGAACATCAAGGAGTTCGAGATGGGGCCAGAGGAGGCAGTGAAAGAGGCTGTGGAGCAGTTTGAATCACAAGGTATGGTGGTATGGCTCTGTTTCAGCGCTGGTCCAGCTCTTTGTCTGACATTCCCTTCCCTTCCACCGCTCTAAACGTGTGAGAGTGCTGCCTTGCTGTGGCCCCATCTTACCTGACATGGCAGCCCTGGGCCCTGTACCCTCTCCACGGTCTGATCTGGGCAGGCTGGCTACCTGCTCCCACCTTGCTGGCGCCCACCCTCTACTTGTCCCAGACCTTACCCAGACATCTGCAGGGCTGGATTCTTCGAAGTGGGTCTCATTTTAATTGTCACTTATGTGAAGGGGCTTTTCCTGCCCATGTCCCAAGAAACACGACCACCTGCTTCTCTGCTCCACCAGTACCCTGGCTTGAGCTCAAGAAGGCATAACAGAATGTCTGTCACCTACCTGTAGAAACAGGTGTCATGCTCAAATCAGGCTGTGGAGGGAAGTGGTTAAAAAGGTATTGCTTGGCCCTGGCCGCTTTGGCTCAGCCGTTAGAGTGTTGGCCTGTGGTCCAGAGAGACCCGGGTTCTGTTCCTACTAAGGACGTGTGTCTCAGTTGCAGTTTGTCCCCGGCCCTGGTTGGTCATGCGGGTCGCAGCCACTCGATGTGTCCCTTTCATGTCGATGTTTCTCTCTCTCTCTCTCTTCCTCTCTCTCCCTCCCACTCTATCTGAACAAAAAATGGGAAAATATCCTTAGGTGAGGATAAAAAATAAGGTATTGTTTGTAGTGGAATGGGCAGAGTTAGGAGACCCTGTAGGCCACTGTAGGGACCTCTCCCAGCCCAGGACAGGTCATAGCAGGGGATGAGGGTCATCTGACCAAGGTAGAGTAAGAGAGCTGGGAATGAATACCCAACTCCCGATCAAGAGTCAAACCCAGTGAGATACCAGAGGGCAAGGGAGTCTAGGTATTCAGACTCAGAGATCAGAGGCTGATGTCCTGGGCACAGAGTGCAATGTAGATACTGGGCAGGTGCTGGAGGGGTACCCAGAAGTATCCTGCACAGTGGTGGCTTCCTTAGGAAGTGCCAATGAAGGCAGGAATATAGCCACGGTGATAGATAATAGGAGCCCCAAGGGAGAAGGCTGTAGGATCTCCTTGCCTCTCAGCCCACCAGGCAGAATATGCCTCTTACTGTAGTGATGGTGGGCAGCCTCACTACTGCTCTGCTCCCATTGGTTGGACAGGGCTGAGGAGCAAAGATCTCCCCTCCCCTCCACCCCACACCTCCATGTGGACATGGCTGCTAAGTCTGGCTTGGGTAGAGAGGGGCTGGGGTGGGGACCTGGGTAGATCCCAGAAGTCTTCCTGAGTGGGTGGTACCAGCAGAAGGGACATGAGGTGTGACCCTGGCAGACTCACAGGGATGATGGCTGTCACTTGTTTCCTGACTCCTCCACCTCCCTACAGGGGTCGAATTGAGCAACATTATAAAGATGGCACCAAAAGTCTCTGCAGATGGACTCCAGGAGCCCACACACAACATCCTGCAGGTAGGAGGGGAAGGCCCAGGTGGGCAGGGCTGACCTTACATGTGTGTTTCCATATATGTCACCTTGTAATGGTCTGTCAGGGGCATTTTTTTCTCTGGTTCCCAGGTGGCAGATACAGGCTCTGAAGGTCAGGGCCTGCCTAGCATTTGCAGGTGGGCCTGAGTTTGCAGCTAGGGCTCCCTGAGTCCATGTCTGAAGGTCTCATGGGGGTGGACAGCATTCAGGGTTTTCCCTGGTATTAGGGGCCTTGGAGTAGAGGACACCATGGAGGAGCCTCTCACTGGCTTTCTGACCACTGAATTTGGTCAGAGAGCGAGTGATCATACTAAGGCTGTCACCTATTGAGTACTGACTATTTTCTGGCACATTACGACCTTTCTCCTTGGTACTTAAACTGGCTTGTAGAGTCAGCAGTGTTGTCCCTGAATTACTGGTGGGGAAACGGAGGCTCAGAGCTTGCTTTGGCTCTCTAGTGACCCAAACTTGCTCACAGAGTTTAGGTCCTTTTCTTAAGGTCATCCATCATACAGTGGGAAGTTGTTGTAAAACAGAAGAAGGTTCTAGTGTTTATTGAGAACAGACTGTGGACTCATTCTGTGCAAAGTGCTTTCTTTTTGCTATCTCAGTTATTCTCCCAAAGACACCTGTAAGGTTGGGATTATTATCCCCATTTTGCAGATGGTGAAATTGAGATCCAAAGAGAATAAAATGACTTTCCTGGCAGCAAGGGAGTGTAGTGATAAAAGAAGTTGGAGGAGACAGCCCTGGGTGTGATCCCAGCTCTGACTAAGGCAAGGTGCTTACATCTCCCTTCCTCAGAGTCCTCATCATCTGCTGCCTTATAGAGGTTTTGTGAAAATCATCCTATTGTTGTGTTCTTTTGACTTCCTTTGCTAGTAAGGATGAATGTATTTTAAAATGAGCTTGTCTTCTGGCAATGTTTCTACTGGATGGTTTATCTTTTTTCTTATTGATTTGTAGATGCCCTTTATATATGAAGGGTTTCAGTAACTGATCTCTAGCAGTCATTGAGTACTTCTGAAGTGCTCAGCATTGTGCTAAATGCTTAAAGCTCAATCTGTGATTAGCCATTTTGCTGATCAGGAATCTGAGGCATCCCAAGAATAAATGATTCACCTATGGTCATGGCTAGTGAGGGACAGAGCTGGGACCCAGATCCAGGTGCCTCTCCTACAGAAGCCAAGCTCAGAGAATGGCTTGGAGGTCTTCTACCAGCAGTATGGAAAACTCGTTTGTTTACATCCTTTGCTCTTTTAGTCTTCTTAATTTCACTTTTAAATTTTTATTCTTCAGCCCTGGCCGGTTTGGCTCAGCGGTTGGAGCGTTGGCCTGCGGACCAGAGAGTCCCGGGTTCGGTTCCTGCTAAGGGCACGTACCAAAAAAAATAAATAAATAAAATAAAATAAATTTTTATTCTTCATTACAGAAGAAGAATGTTAATATGTTCTTGGTGTTAAAAAGTCAAGCAATACTCAAGCATTTATAGTAAAATCTGAAAGTCCCTTTCCTATACATCCTAGCATCCTCTTTCTCACCCTTCCCTGGGGGTGGTGCCACCCACATTGGGGTTTGCATCTCTCAGCCTTGGTTCTCACCTTGCAACTGAACCAAAACCTTCTCACATGCCATGGCACCATTGAATTCTGCTTGTATTTTGTGGTTCTGATGCATGAAAAACGCTTATCTGTGGAGGGAGAAAAAGTTAACTTTGTAATGCATTTTGAAATGACTCTGCTAGAGTTATGAAGTTTGTTACCAACAGACTTGTAGAAATAAAAACAAGATGAAAGCTTGGAACTCTCCGAGTAGAAAGTGAGCCTTGCTAGTTTTTGTTTTGTTTTTTTGGTATGTGCCCCTAGAGGGAACTGAACCTGGGACTCTTTGGTCTGCAGGCCGATGCTACAACTGCTGAGCCAAACCGGGTGAGCCTGGCTAGTTTTATATGTGGGAAATTACAGAATAAAAGCTGTCAGTCACAGAGAGAATGACCCCATGGTTGGTGGACAAAGCCCTATCACCATGTTGAGTTGTCACGGGTGGAACACAGCAGCCTCTGCCACCTCCACATTAGCATCTGTCCTCTGCTCAGCCAGCCTGCAGAGTGTTGGGGTTGCAGGCAGCACCTAGGAACCATAAAGATAATCCCCTTAGCCAGCTGACTCAGAGACTGAGTGTTATGATAAGATCAGGACAAAAGATTTCCCATAAATTTAATGGATATCAATGTGCAAATATTGGTCATTTTCATTTCTTCTGTTTTTGTTTTTGTTTTGTTTTTTTGTGGTAAAATATACAAAACATAAAATCTTCCAAATTAACCATTTCTTTTTTTTTTTAAATCCTCACCCAAGCATATTTTTTTATTTTTCTTCAGACAGAATGAGAGGATGGGGGAGAGAGAGAAACATCGACATGTTGTGAGAGGGACACATCGACTGGCTGCCTCACACACGACCCTGAGCAGGGCCAGGGATGAACTGCAACCGAGGTAAATGCCCTAAACCGATATTGAACCCGTGACTCATTGGTCCTTGTGCCAGCGCTCTAATCACTGAGCTGAACCGGCTTAACCATTTCTAAGTACACAGTTCAGTGGCATTAAGTACATTCACATCATTGTGCAACCATCACCACCATCCATGTCCAGAAATCCTTTATCTTCCCAAACTGAAACTGTCCCTTTAAACACTAACTCCCCATTTCCTCCACCTCCAGCTGTTGGCACTCACCATTCTACTTTCTGTCTCTGTGAATCTGACTACTTTTGGAACTTCGTGTAAGTGGGATTTTTGCAGTATTTGTCCTTTTGTGTCTAGCTTATTTCACAGAGCATAATGTCAAGTTTATCTATGTTGTAGCATGTGTCAGAATTTCCTTCTTTTTTATGGCTATATAATATTCCATTGTATGGATGGACCACATTTTTTAAATTTATCCATCCATTGATGGACACTTGAGTTGTTTACACTTTTTGGCTATTTTTGAATAATGCTGCTATGAACATGGATATACAAACATGTCTTCAAGATCCTGCTTTAAATTCTTTTGAGTGTAGCTCCACTGGTGTGGCTCAGTTGGTTGAGAGTTGTTCCATGCACCAGGAGGTCACTGGCTTGGTTCCCAGTCATGGCACATGCCCAGGTTGCCCGCATGATCCCTAGTAGTGGGCATGCAGGAGGCAGCCAGTTGATGTTTCTATCTCTCCCTCTCCCTTCCTCTCTTCCAAAAATCAATTTAAAAACAACAACATATAAATTGAGTGTATACCCAGAAGTGGGATTGCTGAATCATATGGTAATTCTATAGTTAAATTAAAAAAAAAAAAAAGAGTTTTAATTGATTTTTGGAGAGAGAGGAAGGGAGAGGGAGAGAGAAAGGGGAAGAAACATACATGTGAGAACAAAACATTGATTTGACTGCACCCTGCATGCCCCTTACCAAGGATCAAGCCTGGCAACTGGGCATGTGCCCTGAGTGGGAACCAAACTGGTGACCTCCTGGTGCATGGAATGACTCTCAACCAACTGAGCCACATTGGCCAAGGCATGTACTTAATTTTTTGAGGAGCCACTAGACTATTTTCCAAAGCAGCTACACCTATACAAGGGCTGCAATTCTCCACATTCTTGCCAACACTTGTTATTTTCTGTTTTCTTTCTTTTTTTTAGAATTATGGCTCTTGCAAGACAACTCAAATTTTACTCATGGTACAAAAGTATTTAATAGGCGCCACATCAGTACAGAAAACATAGCCTGTAGCTTATTTTTTAAAACCATAACAGCCAAGTGAAAAGTCAATACGGATTCTTATTTTTCCTTTAAAAACACCTAAAGTCCACATTGGGAATTGAACTATGTTTTTTCTGTCTGGAGATGTGACAGTCTTGTTTTCTGGTCAGTAATGTTCTATCAGACATTGTGTTAAGCCAGTGTACTAAATCAAAGCAGATAGATGAGCAGTAAAGTTGTTTTCTATAGAACACTGTCTTGGTAAGAAGATTTTGATAGGAAGAAGGAATTGCAGACCCTCTACCCCAACAAACTGATGTATACAGAAAAAGTTTAAGTAAACCTGCACAAACACTTAATATGATATAGTAAAAGGAGAAAATAATACCTTTAGCCTACTTTCAGCATAAGCACACATTCACTGGTGCCCAGTAAAATAGGAGCACCGACATTGAAAGCATTTTCACTTTCATAGCACTGACAACTAAAAACACACACAGCATATAATACAGTTCGATTCCCAGTCAGGGCACATGCCCGGGTTGCAAGTTCACTCCTAGTAGGAGGTGTGCAGAAGGCAGCCAATTGATGTTTCTATCTCTCCCTTCTTCTCTCTTTAAAAAAAAATAAAATAAAAAGGTGTAAAAGAGAGTTCTAGAAACAGTGGGACTACATCGGGACCAGCAGAAGACATAATGATACAGGGACTGCAAATGTAAGACTAGTATTTACGCCCTGACCGGTTTGGCTCAGCGGTTAGAGCATCGACCTGCGGTCCGGAGAAACCCGGGTTCGGTTCCCGCTAAGGGCACGTACTTCGGTTGCAGTTTGTCCCCGGCCCTGGTCGGTCATGCGGGTGGCAGCCACTCGATGTGTCCCTTCACGTCAGTGTTTCTCTCTCTCTCTCCCTTCCTCTCTCCCCCTCCCACTCTATCTGTACAAAAAATGGAAAAATGTCCTCGGGTGAGGATAAAAAAATAAATAAATAAATATTATAAAAAAAAAAAAAAAAAGACTAGTATTTACTTTAACATGTAGCTTTTAGGTAAAAGACATCTCTTTCAGTTGATTCCTACAGCTGAGACTCACTGTGACAGTAGGAGTTCCAGAAATTTCAAGACAAGTTGCTGGCTTGATTAACATCCTAGATAAATGCTCCCAAACAGTAAAAACCCCATTGAGGCTGAAGGACTGAAATTTTTGTGTGGACACACAAGCATGTATGCTGGGTTGAATGTGGACTTACTCCAGAGGAGTCCGACTTAGGGAGTAGTACTAGCGTTACTGAACACAAAGTTTTTCGGAAGAAACAGGTCTCAGGAGGGCCAGGTAATTTTTTTTAACCCATCAATACTTGATGTTAATGAAGAATTGCAGAACAGGGCCAGTCTCTCCAAGATCTATTCTTCCGTCATTAGCTGATGTCTCTCCCAATGCACTAGGCAGCTAATGTCCAAAATAATCTCATTGCCTAGAGCTGGGACCTAATGCTGCAGATTTTTCTGGGAAGCTGGCATAGAGGATGGTTTGCACAGTGAAGTTACCAGTAAACCACTGCTTAAGTCCAGTTCCCAGCTTTCTTTTTTTTTATCCTCACCAGAGGACATTTTTCCATTTTTGTTCAGACAGAGTAGGAGAGAGAGAGAGAGGGAGAGAGAGAGAGAGAAAGAAACATCGACGTGAAAGGGACACATCGAGTGGCTGCCTCCCGCACAATTCCAACCAGGGCCAGGGACGAATTGCAACTGAGGTACGTGCCCTTGACCGGAATCGAACCCGTGACTCATTGGTTTGCAGGCTGATGCTCTATCCGCTGAGCCAAATCGGCCAGGGCTCCTGGCTTTCTTTTTATGCTCTGTAGTCCAGAAATATTTCTTTTAAAGTCAGAAAATTGGTAAACGTGAGCAGTATATCGAATATGTCACCAGCCAATTCATCTTTATGGTGTTGTAAAGTTGTTTTGAAGGCTGCCATGTTAAATCCAGGAATTCATTCCAGCAGCCGTTCTTCAATATACTTTTCTACCAAAGAAATATATTCATTTAAAATAGGCTTGTAGGTGAGTTTATTCTTTTCAGTGTCTTCAAACTTACTGGTAGTACTTGTCCATGAAATTTCTCGTAACTGGAACTTGTCATCCATAACATACTCTAAATATCCAAGCACAGCATCAAATTCTGCATCAGAGGCAGAAGAGGAAGACAGCACAAAGCTCTTCTTTGCAGGGGTAGGGAATCTTTTTTCTGCCAAGGACCATTTGGATATTTATAACATCATTTGAGGGCCATACAAAATTATCAGCTTAAACACTAGCCTGCTATATTTGGTCAGGCCAATTTGGTGAGGCATGTGATGTTATGCTAAGAGAAATTAACCTCTGCAACCACCCTGTGCAGGCAAATAGGCCTGCAGTCCCAGGCCCAACCTCTTCTCTACAGAGCCCCAACTGGCATCGGGGAGGCCTTGCTGCCGAGGCCACAGCTGGGCCTCCGCCACCTCCGCATCCACCCTGTGCAGGCAAATAGGCCTGCAGCCCAGGCCCAACCTCTGTTCTCTACAGAGCCCCAACTGGCATCAGGGAGGCCTTGCTGCTGAGGCCACAGCTGGGTCACAGCCCAGCCAAGTGCAGCCCTGGGCCTCTGCCCAGCCAGGCCTCTGCATGAGTCTTTGCAGCCACTTCAAGGGCCTGGGGCGGTTAGGCAGCTATTGACCTCTCAGCACCTTGCCCACCTCTTTTTTGTTGTTTTGATAGTAGCCATTCTGTAGGGTTTGATGGTATCTCATGGTTCTGATTTGCATTTCCCTGGTAATTAGTGCTGTGGAGTGGAGCACCTTTTAAGTCACTGCTCTGGTTTTAACTTCTTAATATTCTGTTTTGTTATAATATATACTCAGTTAAGTCCACAAATCGGTTGACTGACAGGCACCCTTGCCTTTCAGGACAGCTGAACAAAATCAAAGCCCTTTGGGCTGATGGTGTCTGTAGAACTGTGTTCACTGGATGGTGTACAAATGATTTCAGAAACTCCAGGGGCATGCGTTTGTCTTTTTTAAAACTTATTGGGGTTACATTGGTTAATAAAATCAATAGGTTTAAGGTGTATAGTTCTATTATACATCATCTGTATATTGTATTGTGTGTTTACCACCCAAGTCACATCTCTCCTTGATCTTCTCCTGCCTCCACCCACCCCCATTTCCCTCTGGTAATGACCATATGGTTTGTCTGTCTATGAGGGGTTTTTTTTTATTGTTGTTTTTTACTTTATTCCTTCACCTTTTTCCCTTTTTAAAAAAATATTATTTAATTATTTATTTTTCATTTTGGTTGATCCTCACCCAAGGATATTTTTCCATGATTTTTTTTTTTTTAGATAGAATGGAAGGGAGGGACGCGGGGGGGGGGGGGGGGAGAAAGAGAAAGAGAAACATCAATGTGAGAGACACATCAGTTGGTTGCCTCCTGCATGACCCTGACCAGAGCCAGGAATCAAACCTGCAACCCAGGTATGTGCCTTTGACCAGGAATCGAACCCTTCAGTCGGTGGACTGACACCCTAACCACTGAGCCTGACATGCCAGGGCCCTTCACCTTTTTTTTTCTTTTTTTTTTTTTTTTTATCCTCACCCGAGGACATTTTTCCATTTTTTGTTCAGACAGAGCAGGAGGAGAGAGAGAGAGAAACATCGATGTGAAGGGACACATCGAGTGGCTGCCACCTGCACGACCAACCAGGGCCGGGGACAAACTGCAACCGAGGTACGTGCCCTTAGCAGGAACCGAACCCAGGTCTCTCTGTACCACAGGCCGACGCTCCAACCACTGAGCCAAACTGGCCAGGGCCCCTTCACCTTTTTCACCCAGCTCCCTTACTTCATCCTGTCTGTTTCTATTTTGTTTGTTAGTTTATTTTGTTCATTAGATTCCGCATATAAGTGATATCATATGGTATTAGTCTTTCTCTGATTGACTTAATTTCACTTAGCATAATACTCCTTAGGTCCATCCATACTGTTGCAAAAGGTAAGATTTCCTTCTTTTTATGGCTGAGTAGTATTCCATTGTACAGCTTTTTTAAAAATATGGGGGTTTTTTAATTGATTTTAGAGAGAGAGGAAGGGAGAGGGATAGAGAGTTAAAAACATTGATGTGAGAGCATAACTATTGGCTGTCTCCTGCATGTCCCCCATCAGAGATTGAGCCCACAACCCGGGCATGTGCCCTGACCCCAAATTGAGCCGGCAACCTTGTGGTGCACAGAACAATGCCCAACCAACTGAGCCACACCGACCAGGGCTGTACCACAGTTTTTTTATCCACTCATCTACTGATGGGCAATTGGGCTGCTTCCAAATCTTAGCTATTGTAAATAATGTTGTAGTGAACATGGTGCATATATTCTTTTCAATTAGTGTTTCAGGTTTCTTCAGATAATTCCCAGAAGTGTTATTGTTGAATCATAAGGCAGTTCCATTTTTAATTTTTTGAGATAACTTCATACTGTTTTCCATAGTGGCCCCACTAATCTGCAGTCCCACTAACAGTGCACGAGGGCTCCCTTTTCTCCACATCCTTGCTGACACTTGTTTGTTGATTTATTGATGATAGCCATTCTGACAGGTGTTTATGGATTTGTCTTAAGACTCCTGCTCAGGTTCGGCTGGTGTGGCACCAAAATGTCACTGGCTCGATTCCCAGTCAGGACACATGCCCAAGTTTTGGGCCTGATCCCTAGTGGGGGGCATGCAGAAGGTGGACAATCGATGTTTCTCTCTCTCTCCCTCTCACTTCCTCTCTCTCTAAAATCAATAAAGGTAAAAAAAATTGAAAAAAAAAAAAAAAGACTCCTGCTTAGGCAGGTGCTGAGGTCATGGAGTTGAATAGCAGCTAGACTTGTCTGTCCTGATCAGATTGTTTTCTTTCATTATTATTTTATCGCCAGAGGCTTAGAGTTAAATTTGAGTGAATCAGCTGTGTGTACAGTGTGGTTTTATTTGGCAGATGCTCAGTAAATATTTGTGGAATGAATAAGAAAGACAAACAGGAGATGTGGTGTGGGCAGGTCTAGCGAAGGTGTCTTTGACTTTCTTTGGGGAGTTGGCCATTGGAGAGTGTGTTGGTTAGTTATGGCCACATAAGCAACCCCAAACAATAGCCATTTTATTGTTTCTTGTGATTCTACTAGGTTGACTGAGCTCAGCTGGACAGTTCTCCTGTTTGTCTTGCTTGGGACCTCTCATGCAGTGGCAACCACAGCTGGAATGTTTAATACATCTGTTCTTGTATATGTGGCTTCTTGGCAGGGACACTAAGAGCGCTGGGCCTCTACTTCTATGTGGCCTCTGAAGCTCAAGGCTCCTAAAAGCACAAGTGCGGAAGCTGACAACTCCCCACGGAACTTCCAGAGCAGGCCTAGATGCCAGGGGGAAGGGATCCAGAAGGGGTGCAACACTGTCACTGTGGCCTTCTTTGGGCTGAGCTGACACTGAGTTTCTCCCATGTTTCCTAGATCCTGGAAGACCTGCAGGAGTCTGTAGCCTGCTATCACCCCCAGGAGGTGTCAGCGCAACTTGCCCGCTTTTGTGAGCAATGCAAGCAGCACAAGGCCTGCCGCTTTCTGGCAGCTCAAAAGGGCGCCTACCCCATTCTCTTCACTGCCTGGAAGCTGGCTGTAGCGTGTGACAAGGGACTCCTGCTCCAGGCCTTCAACGCCCTGTCAGCACTGATTGATGGCCAACCCGACCTCCTAGACACTGAGGGCCTGAAGCTGCTGGTGGCCACTCTGGCCCAGAATGCCGATACAGCTGATCTGATTTGCTCTGGGATCCGCTGCATACGCCATGCCTGCCTGAAACATGAGCAGAATCGGCAGAGTCTGGTGAAGGCTGGTGTGCTGCCCCTATTAACTGCTGCCATTGCCCAGCATAACCACTGTGCTGACATGGTCAGGGAGGCTTGTTGGGCCCTCCGTATCATGACTTTTGATGACGACATTCGTGTGCCCTTTGGCCATGCCCACAACCATGCCAAGATGATTGTGCAGGAGAACAGAGGTTTGAAGGTGATCATCGAGGCTGCCAAAGGTAGGAGCAGGTGTGTCAAGAGTTAGTGTCAGGGCTTATGATTACTTCAGGCATGGCTGGCTCCTGGCTCCACTTTGCTCTCTTAGCTTCATCCCACTTCCATGGCAACCCTTGTGGAACAGTATCCTTACTCCTAGTTGCTCCAGGAGAACCAGTGTTAATTGGCCAAGACCAAGTCCTGTGGACATGTCTAAAGTCATTTGGGGAGGAGGCTTGGCTCTGTCCAACCAGACAGAGTGGAGGAGAGCTCCCCAAAAGGAAAAACAAGGGTATTTTCCAAAGATAGGGGGAGTATTGCTTGGCATTCACCATGGCCGGTCCCAGGTAGCAGTTTACACTTTGGTTTACACTTTGTCACAAATTTTTGTGCATGTATGTGTTCCTAACTCCAGGGTAACCACAGTGAGCCAGCCATGGGAAGTTGCAGTGCTGACATTCAGATCCCAAAGCACCAGCACCCCATCTGCTGCCCCCTCCAAAAAAGGCCTAACGGGTCTGGTGCACTGAATGTGCTCGAAGAATGAGTTCTCTTTTCTTACCTGCTGTGGCTCTGGCTCCACGATCAGGCCTATGGGCAGGACTCTGGCCCTGTCTGCCAGAGAGATGGGCCTACCTCAGTCTTCCCTTCGTACACCTGCAGAGAGTAGAAATAGCTCCTGATCATCTTGGAAGTCAGGCTGCGTTGTTGAGGGGTCATTTGCATCTTTCTTGTTTATTTATTTACAGGGGCTCATTTCAGTCAGGGGTCTACTAGTGAGACACAACCAGTAAGATATGTAGGTATATAGTTATTGCAAGGAGTTGACTCCTGTGGTTATGGGGCTTTCAAGTCTAAAATCTGTGGGTCAAGACCTAACACCACAGTTCATAGGGGTACTTCTTCCTCCTCAGTTTCCTTTGTAAGGCCTTCAGTAGTTTTCCTTGTAAGGGGGAGGACCTGGATGGCCCACCAAGACCATCCAAGTCACCATCCAGGTCCTCCTCTTTATTTAAAGTCAGATGGATGTCCTGACGAACTGACTATCACATTAACTCTGCATAAATTATGGCTCTCCACCCTCCACTCAGGAGAGGCCTTGGTGCAGTCTCTCCTCCCTGTGCCTCTGAACTTGCTCCTCAAATCTGTGTTCATTTCTGCCATGTCAACTCTATCCATGTGTCTCTATGGTTTCTGGGTTTCCTGTTGTACTTAGAAAGGTCATTCCCACCCCCCAAATTATAAAAATAGTCCCGGGTGTTTTATTATAGCACTGTTATGGTTTTCTTTTTTTAGGTGATACCATCAGTTGGTCTGGAATTTATCTGGGGCACCGCTAAGAGGTGGGGGAGCAAGACAACCAGTGTCTTCCTCAGAAGCCAGCAGGGGGCGCTGCACATCCAGACAGCTGGTCGAGTTCACTGGGGTACTCCTGGTTTAGGCAGCCACCCTGCCAGGCAGGATTCAAACCAGGACTGCTGGCTCTGAGCTATGGCTGGTCCTCTGCCCCCTCCTCACCCATATAGTTCCTCTCCCTCCCTCTCTGCAGCATTCCCTGACAACCCCAGTGTCCTGAGTGAGCTCTGCAGCACTTTGTCCCGTCTGGCCGTTCGCAACGAGTTCTGCCAGGAGGTTGTAGACCTTGGGGGCCTTGGAGTCTTGGTGGCCCTGTTGGCCAACTGCAGCGACCACCAGGTGGGCATCCAGAGCTGTCTTAGGGTGTGAATTCCCCTTGCCTGGGTTTCAATTTGACATTTTTCTTCATGCCTGGGGATGGCTACAGCCTCTCAGGAAACTCTGTCCCTTTGGGCCCCTGCCAGCCACCCAAGCCTGAGTCAGGACACACCTGGCCTGTCTGCTGATCCAAGAACCAAAATATAATACCTACTTCTCATAGACCCATAGGTGGGAACTAAAGTTTGAGGGCAGACAAATCCATCCACCCTTTCTTACTGTCCTTTAGCACTTTGATATTTTCTACCAGGAGTAGGAGGAACAGGAGTGGGGGTCACCAGGGCTGACCTAGACCTCGGCTTAGCTGTGTGATGCTTGAGTGAGGCCCACCCCTCGCTTCCTGAGCTTCCCTATCTGTATAACAGGGCAGGGGCCCCTACCCATCATTCATTCATGTAACAGTCACTTATCAACCCCTCTCCACATGCCCAGCCTAGGGCCAGGGATCCTGGCTGCTGGCAGCAATGATCTTGCTATCCCTGACCCCCACCAGTAACAGCAGCCAGTCAGGTCAGTCAGTGTCCACCCTGAGTCTGCAGCCAAGGCCAGGGAAACCTGTTTTTCTGATTGCTGACCTAAGCCCCCTTTGTGTGTGTGTGGAGTGGGTAGGGGGGGTGTCAAGGTCATCGGAACCACGGGGTCCAGCTCCCCTGCCTTCTCTATACAGTGAGTAGTAACACTGCTGTTACATAATGCCTTTGCACCCCAGGGCAGTCCCAGCTCTTGTTCAGACTGCTGAACAGCCCCAGACCTTCCCTTGAGACCCCCTCCCACAATACAGCAACCTATCAGTTGGTGCCTGGTGCAGGGGGAGGAGGGCTGGCTGCACTAGGACGTGACCCCTTTGTGCCCTCCATATAGGACCTTGTGAAGCAGGTTCTAAGCGCCCTGCGGGCCATTGCAGGCAATGATGATGTGAAGGATGCCATTGTCCGTGCAGGTGGGATAGAGTCCATTGTGGCTGCCATGACCCAGCACCTGGCCAGCCCCCAGGTACCACCAGGGGACACATGAAGTGGGGCAGTGAGTCTGGAATTCCACCTCAGTCACTATATCTGCATGATGCTCTTTCCGTTTCCTCAAGTGGAGGAGAGGGAGGGGTGGGGGCAAGGGGTGGGACCAGGCAAGGTGAGGGTGGAGGAGGGCCTGGTGAGTGAGAGTCAGGGCAAGCAGAGTTGGTGGGGGGACAGAGAGCTTTGTCACCCTGATACTTTTCTTGTTATTGCTGGTCTAGTACACAACCTAGACTGACAGTGATCTGTCCAGGTGAGGTCTTGGGGTACTCACCTGGGAAGCTGGTGATAGTGGGGGTCTGTTTGCCTGGTCTCAGCCATCCCTGTGACCCACTCTGCAGGTATGTGAGCAGAGCTGTGCAGCCCTGTGCGTCCTGGCCCTGCGCAAGCCAGAAAACAGCCGAGTTATTGTGGAGGGCGGTGGGGCTTTGGCTGCACTGGAGGCGATGAAGGCACACCCGAAGGAGGCCAGTGTGCAGGTGGGTATGGGGAAGTAGGAGAGGCAGGAGCCCAGCATGCAGGTGGGGAGCCAGATGGAGGCCCTCACTGTCCCTGTCCCCATCCCCGTTATGGCCCAATCCTGTTGGGTTCTAATTCCTTCCTAGTTCCTGTAGTCCTGCAGCTACATGCCATCCTGCAGAGTATATTGTCCCTGTTCTTCTTATTCTTTCTGCATTTGATCTTTCCTTACAGGCCCTTTTTTATGAATCTGGGGAGGAAGAATGCATGGGGGAGAGCAGATGAACTCTGCTGGGATTTTGGGTGGTTCTGCCTTCCTTGGCCTGCTGCCCAGCCTCCCTGGGGAGTCTTTTTTTATTTTAATCCTCACCCAAGGACATTTTTCCATTTTTTTGTTCAGATAGAGAGGGAGGGAGAGAGAGAGAGAGAAACATCAACGTGAAAGGGACACATCGAATGGTTGCCACCCGCATGACCCAACCAGGGCCGGGGACAAACTGCGACCGAGGTACGTGCCCTTAGCGGGAACCGAACCCCAGTCTCTCTGGACTGTAGGCTGATGCTTTAACCGCTGAACCAAACGAGCCAGGGCATCTCTGGGGAGTCTTAAGGGCTGAACTATAGGCAGAGCCATGCACACACCCTGGCCTGAAACTCACGCACCACCTCCTAGCACTGGGTCCTCCTCATGATCCTTAGACACACTAGGCTATGGTCCCTATGGGGCCTTTGCTCTCCTAGCCCTCCCAGGACACTGTGCCCTTGGCTGGCTTATTACTTGTCCTTTCCTGACCACCCTGGCTAGGATCCCCCACACTGTACCTGCTCCTCATCCACTCTCCCACTGGTGGTGGAAACCTTGTTGGAGTGCTTCTAGGTACCCATACATGGCAGATACTCAGGGTACAAATGTTAACAGAAGGAGTACCAGTGTAGTTGATAGATGGCCCTGTGCATACACCCTCTTCTCTGTCTTGCTGCCCTCCTCCTCTGGGGCCCCTGCCAGACTCTGAGACTGAGGAGCCATACCTGAAGGATCAGCCCCACCTGCTGAACCTTTGGCCAGTCTGAGCTTGTGTCCTTACCTGGGAAATGGGGAATTAACCCTACCTCCAGGGCTGCTGAGAGGATGAAGTGAAGGGATGCATCTGGCCTGATGAGTCATAGCATAGCACCCACCAAATGCTGACTGTGGTCATCACTGACCCATTGTGTTATGAGGATAACCCTAGGGTCAGAGTGGATCCCACCTCAGGACCTCACACACCAGCCTATAGCCTTCACCTTCTGCTCTCCCTTCCAGAAACAGGCCTGCATGCTGATTCGAAACCTAGTGGCCCGCAGCCAGGCCTTCTCACAGCTCATCCTGGACCTGGGGGCCGAAGCACTCATTGTGCAGGCCCGTGTTGCCCATCGAGACTGCGAAGATGTGGCCAAGGCAGCCCTGCGAGACCTGGGGTGCCGTGTAGAGCTTCGAGAACTATGGACTGGACAGAAGGGCAACCTGGCACCATGACCCAGCTTCAGTCTAGGCTGTGACTCTGGGCAAGTCATGTGACTCAGTAAATGTGGAGATCCATGTCCTGCCACTCTGCCCATCCCCCGCCCCAAGATTCCTCCCCCCAACTCAGTAAGAGGCGTTTTTCTGGTAGGTGCCAGGTACAACCTGAGGGGTGGGAAGGGAGCACTGGTAAGGCATCTATACTGGGTCCTGTGCTCCTATCACCAGCCAACAGCGTTGGTACGGCCCCTCTTGCCTAGCCCCGCCAGCCCTTTCCTACCAGAAGGGCCTTCTCAGCATTTCTTGGAGTGAAGGGCTACCTGAAATTTGGCAGCTACTGGTCAGTCTCAGAATGGGGCAGGTGTCCTGCTCCTGCCTCTTCAAGTCCATTGTTGTCTTGCTCCTGTTTTTCTGAACTGTAAATGGGTCAAAGATATGTTGCTCTCCTGGCCAGAGGGCAGGGACTGAGGCTGGTCCGTATCCAGGGCCCCAGGCCAGCCATTGCTTCCTCGTAATAAAAGACCATTGCTTGCCCTGGCCAGTGTGGCTCAATTGGATGAGCGTTGTCCCATGCACCAAAAGGTCAGTGGTTCGATTCTCAATTCCCAACTGGGGTTGCAGGCTTGATCCCCAGTAGGGGCATGCAAGAGGCAGCTGGTCCATGTTTCTTTCCTCCATGATGTTTCATTCTCTTTCCCTCTCCCTTTCTCTCTTTCTCTAAAACCAATAATAAAAATATATATTAAAAAAAACAAAAGGACCAGCCTAGCTGGTGTGGCTCAGTGGATTGAGCATCATCTAATGGACTGAGAGGTCCCCGATCGAATTCCCAGTGAGAGCACATGCCTGGGTTGCTGGCTCTATCCCCTGTAGGGAGCAAGCAGGAGGCAACCAATCGATATTTTTCTCTCACATCGATGTTTCTATCTCTCTCCCTTCCTCTCTAAAAAAATAAATAAAAACATTAAAAAAAAAAAAAGACCATTGGTTGAAGGATGGAGGGATCTATTCCATGGTGCTGAGAGTGGGGGCTGTGGGCTTCAGCCAGTGGTCCCAGAGAGGGGTGGACATTTGGGCAGGCCATAGGGTTGCTGAGGAAAGCAGAGAGGTTTTGAGAATAGCCTGGGATATAGGATCCGATGTTGGCCTCAGCCAGGCAGACTGCTGGGGCCATGGTTGGCATGAGCTTGGGGTCTTCAGGTACCTAGGTTGCTGCTTCTGAGCATACATCTCCTTGGAGAGCTGGGGAGCTCAGCATCCAACCCCCACTCAGCTATGTGGCCTTCAGTAAGTGATGTAACCTCTCTGAGCTTCTGTTTAATCCTCCATAAAACGGAGTAGGGGGGAGGGATAGAGAGCCCTTCCTCAGTGTTGGAACAGAGCTGGGACATGGGAGGTCCCTGGTTGTCTTAGCTTCACCTTGGTCACCCCAGGAGGACATCTTGCACTCCCTCTCCTGACCACATTGAGGTCCTTGCTGGGTGGCTTAGGTAGCCCACTTTCTCTCTCTCAACCTGTTTCCCCACCTGTACACTGTTGCTACCCTGATTCCCATTCTACCCCCAAGTGTTCTTGGGTCCCCAGACAGCTGTGCTTGGCAAACCCCAGCTTTCTCTCTAGTCACACTTAGGGGGCATGTTGTGGTCACCTGGCAGCTCATGCATTCCACATGGCCCAGTCAGGGTCAGAGGAACCTCAGACCCCTTAGTGGGCTCCAGGCACTGTGCCTGGCCCCTCCAGCCTGCACCTAAGAGCCCCTCTCCCCTCTCCGAGTCCCCACCCTTCTACTGGTCATTCACTTCCCCTAGCCTGTGAAGGACCCCAATTCCACTCTTGACATCAGCTTAAGCCTTAAGCCCTTTTCCCAGAAGGCTTCTGGTTTCCATGGACATTGACTGATACAAATAGCTGTGGGCACATCACCCTATCCCCACCCACCTTTCTGTGTTGCTCAAGTCTCCCCTGCCCTCAGCTGGGCAGGACCAGCCAGCTCAGTGGGGCTGTCATGACCCTCTGCCCCAGTCACCCTTCCCTGACCCTCGTCACCAGGGACTTGGCCAGGGTATAGAAGGATACCCTGCCTACTCTAGGCTGCCCTGACTTTGACTCCTGGGTCAGCCAAATGTGTGACTTTGGGATGGTTCTGTTGTTACTGGCAAGGCAATGAGACCTCAGTTCTTGTCTTCTTGAAGGAACGATTTCAGTTAAGAGACAGTGCAGCAAAGCAAGCAAGAATTTATTGGTCATAGCAAAGCACACTTAGGACAGTGAAACAAGGAAGGGTTTAGAAAAAGCAATAGAAGAGCTGAGGCCGAGCTGCATTGGTTCACTTAGAAGTCAGAGAAAGGGGGGCCTTGGAGACAGGTTCAGGGGGTTAGCCACTGCCCACTGCTCCCCTGGTTGCAAGTCTTGTGGGGTCCCTTAGAGTTTAGGACACACGTGCCTGTGGGGAAAGGAGAGCAGGTGTGCTCTAGGGACGGAGAGATCCTGCTGGGACCTTTGCATTGAGGGTATTTATCTCTCACAGGTGAGAATCTTCGGGAGGTCTCTGAGGAGGGTCTCAGTAGAATATTCATCAGCTTTCCAGGTGTACACTTTCAGAGTCATGGTGTCCACTGATTGGTCGGCTCCAGGGCAGGGGTCATTAGTCAGTGCAGCTGGTCTTGAGGCAGCCATTGTGTCACTTGTCTGGTTTTGGTGCTTTTCTTGAGCTGCCCCAACTCTGCTCTTAATCTACCCATGGCTGCCCATTGCTCTCCCCATAAAACCAAACTGTACTCCAGGCAGGCCCTGCCTACTTCCCACCCTCATCTTCCCCATGCTCTCCTTTAATCATGGTTTCAGCCACACCAGCCTCCCTACCTCAGGTCTTTGCACATGCTGTGTCCTCTGTTTGGAGCACCCTTCCCTCTGCCTTTCCCCAATGCCACAGTCCTGTCACCCCTTGTGCTATGCTTCTGACCTCTGACACCATCTGAGTTCCCCTTGTTTGTATACTTTCCTGTTTGTCTGCTCCCCACTCCATGTGGGTAGGCTCCTGTCTTCCCTGCTCTGCCGCAGCTTCCTGTAAACATTTCTGAACATATATTTGAATAAATGAATAAGTATATAGGGTGGTTGGAGAGAAGGCCTCCCCGCCAAGGTCCACCTCTGGGCTTTTGGCCAGTATTCCTACAGCTGCAGGCTTCTTCAGGGATGGGTGGTTCCCATTTATCAGTTCTTCCCACTTTAGCCTGAGAAAATGGGCATCTTCAGTGGGTGCACTCAGGGCCTGTTTGGATGTCATCAGGTTGGGTATCCCATGCCCAGCTGAAGACCCCACATCTCACAGAAGTTGGCCATGCCTGGGTTCTAGTCACTGCTCTGCCACCTCAGGTTAGCCTTGGCCTCCTCACCTGAAAATGGGCTAAGTGTATGTCACTGCACTAGGCTTTGGCTCCCAGCAAGGCCTGGCTGGGGGTGTGCCCGGCACAGCACCCTTCTAAGGAGTGTTCCCCAACCTTGTTGATGACATAAAAATGTGGGCTGATGGGGACACTACTGCAAGGGAGGTGCCAGCACATTTAGGCTGTGCCTCTGTTGCTGGTTGCTCTTGGATGAGTGGCCAGGATTCTCAGTCTCTGGCAGAGAATGCCTTGAGACTAGTCAGGCTTGGCTATAGTCACTGTTGTGTCCATCCAGCCAGGGAAGGGCCTGGGCTCCTGGGTTGCCAACACATGTCTGAGATGCAAAGCCTGTGAACCCCATTTACAGATGAGAAATAGACTCACCAGCATTTGAGGAGCCATAGCAGGATAAGAACCCAGGTTGGCCTGCCTCTGCCCCCTCCTCTGCTTGCCAATATTGCTAACCTGACCTTGGGCAAATGGCTCTCTGATCTTGGTTGATTAAGTCCTGTCACTGTGCCTGGGCCTGGCTCATTGCTATTGTGTGAGATGATTCCTGGGATCCCCGAGTAGAGGAAACGAGGAGGCAAAGAGGCAGTATCCTGCCCAGGGCCAGCAGTTCAGTTCAGAAGAGCTAGGATCCTGGGCACCCTGGCCAGGCATAACTAAGGTGCCCATGATGGGGGTATCAGTTGCTGATTCCAAGGGGCTTTGCCTGACATTGCTGAAAGGCTACAGGAAGGTTGGCTGGCGCCAGCCTGCTGACAAACAAACAGAAGCCAGAGCCCAGCCAGTGTTTCTGGCACCATCAGGAGAAGCAGCTGGCTGCTACACTGCTGCCCAACCCTTGCCTCAGTTGGCACTGTCCCTGGGGGTACCACGGGACTTTCCAGGAGCTTGCTGCTTCCCTCTCAGGGCCTGGCAGGTGGGTGCTGTGAGTGGGGACTCCTTCAGCATTAATATCTCCCTCTTCGGGTGGCAGTTCACACCCACAGTTGGTCTATATCCACATTCCATAAAGTGCTGTTTATAAAAAGGGAAACAGAGGCCCCAAGAACAATTTGTCCATCACAGATGCTCAGTGAGTGCTCGCTGCAGACCAACACAGTTGTGAGTTTTGCTTCCATTCAATTCATTAATGCTGCCATCAACCCTAGGAGGTAGTTGGAGAAACTGAGGCAGGGAGTTTGAGTCACTTGCTGAAGGTCCTATGGCCAGCAAGTCATAAAGAGCAAGGATTCAAACCCAGTCCCACACCCTTCCAGCAAGGAACACTTGCCACATGAAGCTAGGTTTTCTCATCTGCAAAGTGTCACCCCATCTGGAAGTTATGTGATGACATGGTGTTTGGAAAGTACCAGGCCTGGAAAGGACCTGACACTTAAGTAGGTGTTCGGCAGACTCTGGTTCCTCCTTTTCTCTGGAGGGCAGAATGGAGACCAAAGCCTTGAAGGTTCAGGGAAGCAAACTACAGCTAGGAAGTATGGGAGAGGAGGCAGGAATATCATGGGAATATTAGTAGTCATAATGTAGCCTTGGGCTAGTGACTTCCATAGTATGAGCCCGTCATTTCCTCCAAGAGGGCCCTTTGAGACATCATGATTAAGCACTTACCAGGGGTCAGTAATGCCCTGAAATGTGAGCCCTTATAGGCTTAGCTCAGCCCTGCTCCCTCCCAGGACTCCTTGGTTCTGAACTGGATCTCCACCAACCCCAGCCTGAAACTGGACTAATAAGAGACACTATCTGAGAACATTTGTAACCTTTTGTGTCCTGGAGATTAAGGGAGTCAGAGAACAGGTGAGCTCAGGGGAGGTACCAGTGACAGCAGAGCACTGGATGTTCATTTGCAAAGAATTCCATGAACCACACCTCACCGAGAAGCTGAGGCTCACAGGCCTGATGTAACCTGCTGTGGGTCAAAGGCATTTACCAGAAGATCAAGGCAAGGGATGGGATATACATTCTCCAGGTGTAGAAATTGTCCCATGAGGAAAAAGGCTCAAAGTGCCCAAGGTCGTGGGTCAGTGGCTGAACAGGAATTGGAACCTGAGTCTCTCCAGCCTTATCCCCTTGGAAAAAGAAGACTGCGTTAGATTCACTCCCGGATTCAGCCACTGAAGTGCTTTGTGATGTTGGATAAGGAGCTTGAACTCTGGGCTCTGATTTCTATAAAAGGGGGTCAATGGTCGCTTTGAACTCATGGGATTGTGGTTAAGATTAACAAAAGGTTTATGAGGGATGAGGCCGGACTGGGATGACCTTGGATCGCGGGATAGACAGCTTGAACTCGGAGTCAAACCCTTCCAGAAAAATCACAAAGCGTGTGAGTAGGATTCCACCTCTTTCCATGTCTTCACACCAACCCGGCTGCAGAGGGCGAGCCTTAGTGAACTCTAGCGAGTTTGCCCTCTCCCGGTCGTTTGCAGGGGAATAATGGGGAGTGATTATCCACGAGTCCTTTGGCTGCGATGGCCCCAGTCCACTCTACGCAGCCTCAGGGGGCCTCATGCGGAGCGTCCGAGGGCACCTCTGGCCGCCATGCTCTGGGCCTAACTGTACCTTACACACTCGAGCACCGCCCGTGGCGCACCGCCCACGGCCCTTGCGGCTGACCTCTGGACCTACCCTTCGACTTCGCAGCCAATCCTCGTCGCCCTACAGGCTACTCCCTCTGTTCCACTCGCGTTAGTCGCTTCAGCCACTGTTCTTGTTCCCCGGCTATTGGTCGTCAGGGCTGCCTGTCTTCTGTCTTCTGCCAGTGCTCCAATTCTCGCCCGCCTCCCGGCCCTCACCTCCCAGCACCTCGCGCTGGGCGGGACCACTCCAGATATCCAGAGTCTCTCCCAATAGCCCCGCCTCCATTCCCTCAGCGATTGGCTTTAGGGGTGGCTCGTCGTCTTCATACCAACCAATCATTGTCGCTTCCATCACTGATTGGTTATTGTGCGGCCAATTGGAGCGCGTCATGGACCCCTCCCGCGGCGCGCGCTAGTGGGGTACGCGAGGCGGGGCAGTGGTGGCTAGAGGTGGCGGCAGCGGCGGCGGTGACGGCGACGCGTCCCAGCCGGTGAGCGGGCGCGGGGGGCGCGCGAGCAGCGCGGGGGCTGCGCAGGCGTCGGGGGCGAGTGCCCCTCGAACCGAGTCAGGGCGAGGCATGGCTCAGTCCTGGGTCCTGGGGGCGGGGGCGGACGAGGCAGGGCATGACAGCAGTGTCGCGGGGGCAGGGAGAGGACAAAGCCCCTCACCCTGCGTCTGGTGTTTCTTGGGGGCACCCATAGCCGGATATGAGCCCCTTGCCGTCAGCCCACGCACACCTGGCACCGAGTCCATTCTCGTTGAGCACCCCCACCCCATACACCTGAGACTGGCTGCCTAGCTGACATCCTCCGGGGCCGCGCCCCCAGGCACCCAGCATAGTAAGGTGTACACCCCTACACGCCTGTGACCCTATGTCCCCACTTCCGGTCCCACTCATACACCTAACACCGCGCCGCCACTCATGAACATCCCTTACATCTCCTGAGACTTACCGTCTTGATGATACCGCCCACCCGGAGCTGTCTTCTACACCCAGCCCCGCCTCCACAACTGTGTTTGTACTCCCACAGCAACACCTGAGCCTATGACCACAAACTCACGTCCCTCCACCAACGTCTGGGCCTATTGGTTTTGCTGACATCCAAGTCTGTACCTCTCTCGCTGCCCTTCGTTTCAGCAACTTGGGTCAAAGCCCTCAGGTCCTTCCCCCACCCCAGCACCACCACCTGTCCTGTGCCCCTAGCAACATTCCAGTCACTTCACACCCCCAGTCAGTGCACCTGCTGGTACTTTATTCTCTATGCACCTGTGTTTGTGCACCTCTATAATCCTCAACACCGCCCCCCCCTCCCAGATCCTCCAACATTCCAAACTTCGTTCTCTCAGGATCACTGCACACACACAGGTGAAAAAAGCTCACTCAGAAACTGTCTTTCCATTTATGATGGTCTATAAAGTGATTTCTGGGTTTAGAGTAATCCTATCTCAGACAAAGCCATAATTATCTCCATTTTAATTTTTTTTTTTTTTTGTAATCCTCACGAGGACATTTTCCCATTTTTGTTCAGGTAGAGTGGGAGGAGGAGAGAGGAAGAGAGAGAGAGAAACATCGATGTGAAAGGGACACATCGAGTGGCTGCCTCCCGCACGACCCCAACCAGGGCCAGGGACAAACTGCAACTGAGGTACGTGCCCTTAGCAAGAACTGAACCCAGGTCTCTCTGGACCACAGGCCGACGCTCTAACCACTGAGCAAAACTGGCCAGGGCTCTATTTTAATTTTAATTTAACAAACCTCAAGCGACTTAATTGAGGCAGAGCCCACCCCTTCCTCAGCATTACTGATCATTCTTGGTGGACCTCTCCTATTTTTGCCCTCTCCTATTTTGTTGTGTTTATGTCTGAAGGGTTGGCAGAGGAGGAGACCCCCACCCTCCCTGCATCTGTTCTTCAGGCATCATCACTTTGACTGGGTCCAGAAAGACTGAGCTGGGAAGGGTAGCCCCTGGTCACTACTGGAGAAGGAGTCTCCCAGCCCTGGGGTGGGGATGGGGTGCTGGGGGAGTGGGACCTCAATTCCTATGGTCCTGCCTCTGTCAAGGTCACGTGGAAGGGAGTTGCAGGACCTCTGGCCCCCACTCTTGCAGACTGAGGCCTGTCACTGACCTGAGGGAGCTCCTTAGACTTTTGAATGGGATGAACCCAGAGTAAGCAAACACTTTAGAGTGAGGGAGCTAATGTTACAGACACTTACAGCTAAACTGCAAAACGAACCTCGTGTGGTGCTGGGGATAATGATTTTTCTGGAACTTTTCAATCCTGGGAGTATGATTTGCCTGTGTGCAGCACAGAAGGAGACCAGTGGCTTTGTTGTAAAAAAAAAAAAAAAAAAAAAGGTGCTCGCCCTGGCCGGTTTGGCTCAGCGGTTAGAGCGTCGGCCTGCGGTCCTGAGAGACCCGGGTTCGGTTCCCGCTAAGGGCACATACCTCGGTTGCAGTTTGCCCCCGGCCCTGGTCGGTCGTGCGGGTGGCAGCCACTCGATGTGTTCCTTTCACATCGATGTTTCTCTCTCTCTCTCTGTTCCCCTCTCTCCCTCCCACTCTACTTGAACAAAAAAAAATGGGAAAATGTCCTCGGGTGAGGATAAAAAAAAAAAAAAAGTGCTCTTTCCTGTGAGGCTTACAGAGTGCCTCTTACATGACCACTCCCCCACCCCATCTCTCCCTGCAGAGATGTTGCTAGAATGTTCTAAATGTTCTAGAGGGTCATATCACTTTCAGTTTCTATGGAAACGGAAGCCATTGGGGTTTTCTGTCCAATAAAATGTATGTGTATCTATGTATATATATGTAGATATTATACACTGATACACATATACACACATTTAATTTTTTATTGATTTCAGAAAGGGAAGAAGAGAGAGAGAGAGAGAGATCAATATGAGAGAAACGCATTGATTGGTTCCCTCCCAATTGTACCCCAACTGGGGATTGAGCCTGCAACCCAGGCATGTGCCTGACCTGGAACCAAACTCGGACCTTCTGGTGCACTGGAGAATGCTCCAGCCAACTGAGCCACATCAGCCAGAGCCATATATATATACACATTTTATATATACATATGTACCTACACACATATATACATATACAAATATATATATAAATATAAACTGATGTGGTAATTGATGTACACGGTAAAAAACAAACAAAAAAAAAACACTTATAAAAAGCATACAGGCCCTGGCTGGTTTGGCTCAGCGCTTGGAGCATTGGCCTGCAGTACGGAGAGACCCGGGTTCGGTTCCCGCTAAGGGCACGTACCTAGGTTGCAGTTTGTCCCCTGCCCTGGTTGAGTCGTGTGGGTGGCAACCACTCAATGTGTCCCTTTCACGTCGATGTTTCTTTCTCTCTCTCTCTCTCTCTCTCCCCCTCCTACTCTATCTGAACAAAATACATCGAAAAATGTCCTCGAGTGAGGATAAAAAAAAAAAAAAAAGCATACAGTAAAATAGGCAGATCTTCCCATACCTGTACCCCATCCCCTTTCAGAGGCACCGTGGTTAAATTCTTCTGTTTCCTTCCAGAGATAGTCTATGCTTGGAGGACAGGGGAGGAAGGGGGCAGTATATCCCCTGCCCCTTTTAAACCACTGGTAAATTTGCATCAGATTTTATCAAATGGGTATATTGATTTTATTAAATATGTTTTTATTGATTTTTTAGAGAGAGAGAGGAAGGGAGAGACAGAGAGAAACATCAATCGGCTGTCTCCTGCACTCTGCCTACTGGGGTATTGAACCCACAACCCGGGCATGTGCCCTGGCCGGAAATTGAACAGGGACCTCTCAGTCCATGGAACGACTCTCAATCCACTGAGCCACACGGGCCAGGTTGATTTTATACAGTCTCTTACTAAGTAGTCACTTATATTTTCTTTTACAAACCAAAGTGCACTGAACAGATAGAATCATGCATGAGCAAATATGTAGTGAATGTGTGTGGCCCAGGCACTCTGAAACCTCCCTGACTTCTTGGAGCTTACATTCAATGCAGCAGCTTCCTAGAAGTGGCCAGGCCAAAGGACATGTCCATTAAAATGGTTACTGTTCCTGCAGAGAGGTTCTGCAGTCAGTAGTCTCTCAGCTGTGAAGTTGGAATGCCTGTGTTATCCTCCAGCAGCCAGTATGTTGTGTTTTTTTTTTTAAGTATTCTGGTCGCTCTAATCTGATAGGTAAAAAAACAGCCCAGGAGATCCTTTTGAATGTTGCTTCCCTGCTTTCTGTTCATCTCTTAGGGATTCTGGCCCATGTGGTGGTAATTAAACGTTATATTTCTGTTTAATTAGACTAAAATTCAATCCAAGAAATATCTGAGTTCCTCCTCAACATAGCTCTGAAGGAAACCTTGGGCTTGATGGGGCATTACCCGGAGTCCCAGGAGGGCACATCCTGAGATGTGGGACACAAGGTACCTTGACAAACGTGAGGTACCCTAACAAGAACAATTGGCTGGAATAACTGTTTAGCTGTTGCTAATTTTTTTTTCCCCACTTGGAAGCAGCAAAAGAATGAAGATGTCAGATGAGATTGAGAGAAGTCAGATGTTAAATCTATTTGGGAAGCTGTCTCAGGATTCAGTTGTTGGCGATTTCCCATTATAGGCACCAGGTGGAGGATGTCATCAGACGGAGGTCAGGCCTTTTCCCACATGCCACCCCATATTTTGTTCTTTTCTATTTTGGCAGTTAGATATTAGAGGAATACTGAGATGATCAGAGATATTGGCTTCTTTGAGTTTTGTTAGGGCTTGTTTGGGTTTTATTGCTTAACAAAAAGTATATAGTGTGCACATGAAAAGAACCAAGGTAGAAGGAATAATGAAACACTCAGTGTAAGAATTAGAGTGAGCCCCCACTTTCTGAAGCCCCTCCCTGGTTACTGTGGGGGTTTCTTTGTTTGTTTTGTTAATCCTCACCTGACGATATTTTTTCCATTGATTTGTAGAGAGAGTGGAAGGGAGGGAGGAAGGTAGAGAGAGGGAAAGGGAGGGGGAGAGAGAGAAAGAGACATCGATGTGAGCGAGACACATAGATTAGTTGCCTTCTGCATGCACCTCGATGGGGGCCAGGGATCGAAACAGCAACCCAGTTAAGTGCCCTTGACCAGGAATCGAATCCACAACCCTTTGGTGCTTGGCTAGTGCTCTAACCATGGAGCCATACTGGCCAGGGCTCACTGTGCTATTTTTAAAATACACTTGTCAACATTTGTTTTCTTCACTGTGTACCTTTTGCTGCAGCTGAGTGCTGGGATTCTAGAGTCTCAACGAAGTTCCCCGGAAGCCAAGTTTTCTGCTGAAGCTCTGCCAACACAGAGCCCTTGAAGTCCAGAGAGGGGAGCAGTGACCTCAGGGCCAGGGACAGGTCATTACCCAAGAGATGGGCCAGCACTAGGAGGTTTGGTCTCAGGCTCTGCCATGTTAGTTTCTGGGGTAGCTGTAACAAACTAGGTGGCTTAAAGCTACAGAAATTT